ATTGTCACACACCTACAATAGCATGTGAAAGGAGATTCTTTGATTTAGAGAAGAAGAAAAACGATTCAGATTTTAAATCTAAATCTAAGCAGCGAGTTTTTTTTTTATATACACCAAATGATGTTTTTTTATATATAATTTTCTTTTTTAAATACAGTGACCCCTTGGAGTCACGTGTTTAGTCAAGAGACTTTGAGAGTTAGAAAGATTAACATGTATGTAAAGTTTAACTACCAAGTCCAATTCTCAAGGAAAAAAAAATGTTCAATGACCCAACAAGATCCACCCAGAGTGGTACACAGTTTTAAAACACTGTATAATTCTGGACCAGAATTGAATGCAACAAATTGAATTGGAATCGTATTATTAGCTCAATATGTTAGAGGCAGGAGAGGGACAAGAAGATTAAATGCTGTGTAGCAGGCTATAGCTGTAGTTAAGGAAAGGAAAGATACTCTCTTGAATTACTTATTTATAAAATTAGGGATAAAATGGACAGCCTAATTCAATTACTAACGATTAAAAGTATATTTGGATGAAATAAAATTATAGAAAATAATTAATAAATAAAAAATATAAGGGTATAAGTGATAAAAAAAATAAACCCGTGGGGTATTTATGAGAGTATTTATGAACTTTTCCTTTTTTTTAATTACTGGGTTTACTCGTCTATTTTTCATATCCTAACGCAACTTTTGATTGGTAAAGTTCTTGTAATTAGGAGTAGATGGAGGACATATTCTATATATCTGAACATTTACCGTTTATGAGAATAGATTATAATTAATTAATTAATAAACAGAGTGCTATATCATTAATTTTTAATTATAAATTAATTAATTTTTAATTGTATTTATATCTTGTTATTGGATCAAAATTATTAATTATTTAATAGTTAATTTGGCCCATTAATTTTGACCCAATAAATTATAACCGTTTCTGAACGAAAATCAACAATTAAGGTCTAAAATAATATAAACTTATATCCTTTAAAAAGATAGATATTTTTCCTATATATATATATATATATATATACACACACGCGAGCCCTACTCAACCAAATCTCTTTCCGTATAATGCGGTTAAATCATAAATGTTTACTTAACATATATCTATCGCATGTGAACAACCGGTAGATAAATGTTTTTTATTATAACCACTTTATTTAACAGTGAAGATCGTTCTTTTTTTTGATCTGGATGGGCTTTCCTCTTTTGCCTCTGTGATAACTCCACATTGATTGAACTTGTTGAAGTCTTCAGCTACTTTCCTTTTTTGGTCTGCTTCTGCTTTATTTTCTGTTTCCGTTTTCTCTGTTTGTTTTGCTCTTTTATTGTACCAATATATATATATATATATATATATACGAATTTTATTAATCTCATGTTAAAGGAGATAATTATCTTATGTCATAGAGACAAATTAATGGGCTTCACTACTTAAAAAAAAAGACACAGCGAAAAGTGTGTAGGAAAAAAAACTTAAGTCATATGATATAAGAATAATTTTTTCCTTATATATATTGCACTGTGTACGGATAAAAGGTCCCGTCCCAGTGTCACACAATCTATGACCAGACACCCCGTTGCGTGGAGGGCCCCTTAATCTTATGACTTACGAGCGATTTCTAGGCATTGTTTTGAAAAAAATAATTCAATAGTCCTGTGCATCCCCAATTTAAATTAAAAAATTATTAATCAAACTACATTTTATTTATTTATTTATTATGTTTTTTAGCAGATAAAAGTTTAGACTAAAAAAATATACCCTCCATGCAAGATATAGAAAGAGCATGGCGGGATTATATATTACCAACAAAAAAAAAAAAAAAACTCATGGTCAACTATCTCATCTGTGCTAACCTTCATTAATAAAAAAATAAATATTTCCTACCATATATATATATATATATATATATATATATATATATATATATATATATTACATGAGTACCGGTTTTTATTATTATTATTATTATTTTATTAAGTAATAACATGTTGGACTATTAATTGTTTTTCTGAAATAACTTAATATAAACAGACTAAGAGGTAATTGTTTTTGGGTCACGTTAATATATATATATATATATATATATATATATATATATATATATATAATATAAAGTTTATTTTTTTGAAGAATATAACTTTGTATTATTCTAGATGAAACGATGTCATTTTGGTGTATAATTGATAAATTTTTTATATTTTCTCTCCTCCTTAAAATTAGAAAGAAAAAAAGTGAAGGAGATAAAATATAAAAAATTATTAATTATGCGTTAAAATGACGTCGTTTAATTTAAATTGACACAAATTTATATTTTTTAAAATAATAAATATTTTTTTATATATATATATATATATATATATATATATATATATTTCGTGATATACCGTTCCTTCATGTTATTTAGTGTTTACTAATATAAAGAAAATGAAATAATTATAATGAACTTTACTGTATTTGTGCAAGATCCGTTAAACGAAACAGTTATATTAAATACTATGTACCTAAAATTCATTAAAGTGCTCGAGATCCCCCTAGCATCTATATATAAAAAATGTAAATTACATTTATACATAATTAATGAGTATAATGGAAATCAATTACATAAGTACAGTGTCAATTTTTTTAATTTGACATGTGTGAATTAATACTGTCACTGACACGAGAAAAGTCAATATGATCAGGAGAAAAAGACTTCACATGGTGATTTGCATTTGCAAGGAGAGACAAAGCAAGTGGTCCATTCTATAATGTGTAGTACCCTGTGTGAAAGTGGGCCACTCTCTCTCCAACTTGTGTCGGTGCTATATCATACGGTCCGGCCTAATTGAACCCGCGTGAAAGTTGGACGATTCTCTCTCTCTCCAATTTGCAAGCGTATTTTCTGCAGTACAGGCACACCAAATATTAGCTGTGATCATAGGTTGAGATTCTACTTAAAATTGAAAGGAGGATTAAAAATCATAAAACGTAAAATCCTAACGTAAAAAAAATCATAAAAAATTGTAAAAACTTAAAAGCGTTTAAAATTTTGATAAAATTATTTTGATTAAAAAAAATCTTAAAATCATAAGATCGCAGATTTAAATCGAAATTTTAACTAGAACAGGTGTGATAATATATATGCACTATATATTATCGGTAATGTATAATGTAAAATATAATTTTTTTTCAAGTATATTAGGAGCCAATATGACGCGCTCCTATAGGTTCATTGTATCTACTCTCATAATATACTAGATTTTTTGCCAATTTGCGTGGGCGTTATATCATACGATACACCTTAATGTGTACCTGTGTGAAAGTGAATCACTTTTTGACGTCGAAAACATATAGAAAAGTTAGTTAAATAGAAAATCAGAATTACAAAAAAGAGTAACCCTTAGAATTTCAAGAGCTCGGAAGACAGATATTTAAACCGAAAACTTGAGCGGACATTTTGGACAAGAAAATCAAGTTTTGGAGTGACTATTTGTGCAAGCGCTGAACAAGAAAAATCAAAAAATGGAGCGACAACTCGTGTGGGCATATAGCGAGAAAATTCAAATTTTGAAATGACAACTTGTAGAGGCGCAGAGCATGAAGATCCAAGATTTGGAGCAGCGACTTGTGCGAATAAAGTTAAGCATTCGATCCGAAGAGGAAATGAAATTAAAGGACACATATGATGACGAAAAGAATGACATCAATCTTTTGGGGATTATAAACTTGGACGAAATTGGGAAGTATGACTTGGAGATCAATTCACCTTTCAAGATATTGAGATGCAACTCAATATTCTTAACTTTGATATCTATGATCATAACACAGATTATGATAATTATCCAATTTATGATGATTATCTGATTTATGATGATTATCGATCTTATGATAAAAATTCATTTTATAATGACAATCTAATCTATGATAAATCTGATGATGAAGATCTAAACGAGATGGAATTATCATTTGAGTTTCTACCTCAAGAGATTGATATCAGTGAAGACGATGAAGATTCGAAGATGAACTTTTCCTAGCAGGGGAGAATGATGAATTTATAGTTGACTCATTATACATGACCCAATCATTGATTCAAAAAGCTCAGAGTAAACCAGAATTGCGACCCAATAAGTATGATCCAATTGTTAAAAGAAATAGTAATTTAAAATATAACAAATACACGATCAAATTCAAGTCCAAATAAAATTGTGATTTGTTTGGCAAATAAAGAAAAGTAACATATTTGACATGAGATATAAGATTTGAGATGTGTTTTGAATGATTTACTTATGATTAGTTATTTATTTTTAGAAGTTAATTATCATTATATTTATTTTAAAAAATTTCCTTATTTTTAGTAGTTGATTTTTTTTTTTGGTAATAGAATTTGAGAAACGGATTAATCTTTTATTGTATCATAACTTTCACACCCTTTCCAATTTGTGTGTTATATCATATATGGCAGTGTTTTAACTTTGTTATTTTTTTAAGTAAACTCAAAATGTACCCGCCTCGTAAGACTAGACTAATCATTTCGTGGATTGGAGTAAGAAAATTTTCATCAGTAATCTTAAAATATTTTTCAAAGAAATAGAACCATAACTTCATCACTCTTGAATTGCCGTCCACTTAACAAATAACAAGTGAGTTACAGCTTGGGGTTATTAGTGTCAAATGTCAACCACATATTCGTACATCGTGCACATCTCTCGTGGTTATAACTAAAGCGCCCTCTGCAACTACTCAAACAAACCAACCAACGGTAACCTTCTATTTATGCATAGCATTTGCAGCACCAAACACAGCCCAAAGGAAAACTCTATCCCAATTCAGGAACACAATGTTCTCCTACTCGTTCAGTCTCCCTATTTCCTTCGAGAGTACTCTAACTCCTCCAAGGACCAACCCTTCTCCCTCTCCCTATTCCCGTGAATATTCTTATTCCCATTTCCAAACACGCCGGTTCCCTTCGCAGCCTCTTTCCATTACCAAACGCGGCACAGCCACTCCTCCTCCAAACGTGGCACTTCGGGACGACGCAAACTACCTCGCCGGAGAGGAGCCGATTCCGACGGAGCTACTGCCGGAGCTGATGCCGAAACATGTGGCGGTGATTATGGATGGGAATGGGAGGTGGGCGAAGCTGAGGGGGATGCCGCCGTCAGCGGGTCACGAAGCCGGTGTGCAGTCACTGAGAAAGCTCTTGAGGTTGTGCTGCAGCTGGGGGATAAAAGTTCTCACGGTTTTTGCCTTTTCCACTGATAACTGGGTTCGCCCAAAGGTCATTCATGTCTTTTCCTTTGAAGAGTACTTTCGCTTTTGTTTTAATTGTTGGTTTTGCTTGATATTGATTTGTGATGATGCTGCAGATCGAGGTTGATTTTTTGTTGAGTCTATTTGAAAGAACAATAAACTCCCAAGTTGAAGTTTTTAAGAGGTACTCAACTGCCAACTACTTTGCGGAAATTGATTGTGTCCTACTATCACGTGGATCCCATCATTTTTTATTTTAAAGTGGTGGAGTCTACATTGATTATGTCTATATCATGACACAACTAATTTTCTACAACATAATATATCTATTTTTCATAATTATTTGGGGAAAGTAACTTTTTGATATCCCTATATTTTTATTAGATTTAATATTTTTTAAAAATAATATTATCTCATATATACATAAAAATATAGAGTGTTTATATTTTTTTTCTCTATTTTCTTAACATTATCTCATGTGAGTTTTATACACTTTTATAATATGAAAAATATCAAATTCATTTTTTATTACTCATTAAATAAATGATATTATTGTGTGTCATTCGAAATAAATCATAACAAAAAGAGTATTATTTACAAGAGAAATTATATTTTTATATTACATGAGATTCGTTTTTCATGTTAGATTCACGTAAAAAAACATATCTTTTTCTTTTTTAAATTTTTTTGATGAACCTCATTTTATTTATGTAACAATGTAAGATAATTCCTCTGAAGTAAAACCGTATTTACAATGGGTCATCTATATTCCTCATCAAATGTCTAATAATATAAAAATTATCCTTTTGACTGAATTATTTGCGCTGTCCCTCTAAATGAAGGAAAAAACGAGGAGTCTTTGATTTCCCTTTCTTCCTAACGTGTGGTACTATTCAACGGGGAGGGTAAGGTTCCATTTTGTTTTTCTTTGCGGTATGATTGGTAGAGAGTTGAGACGTAGTGTATTTACCCTCTTCCTGAATGGAGTACTCTGATGGTGACACTTGACATCCTGACTGTTGTGACTTGTGATCATAAGGCACTAAGCTCTAGGGCCAGAGATTTTTCTAATGTAGACCCGGTGCACTATTTTTAAGGTGCACCTTTTTCTAAAAAAAAAAAACAAATTTCACTTAATTTTTTTTTAAATTCTCTGTCCGTCCTTTTTTTTTCAATTTTAAGACAGACACTTTGAAGCTCCTGTCTATATTAAATAAGCTCCTAGGGCGAGCTCATATGGCCCCTACAAAATCATATTCATCTTTTTATTTTATTTTGATTTTTCTTATATCAACATATCTTCTGTATTTTACATGGTCTTCTTTTAATCCTTTTTCTTTTCATCTTCTCTCTCTTCTTTATTTTCTTTATTTTTTTTCCCTTCTTTTCCTTTATTTTTTTCCTTCCCCATCTTTTTTTCTCTTATTTGTTTTTTTTTTATTTTTTAAACTTTTTTTTTTTACTTTTATATTTATATATATGAGATAAGATATACTTACCATCAAAAAAATTTATCACTTTTACAACCAATTTAATCATCGTTGATTTCGGTCAATTTAACGATTATAATTGATTGAAAATTAATAATTAATTAATAAATACGACTCAATAATTTCTAATAAATTATAACCATTACATTAACAAAAATTAATGGTAATTAAATTAGTTGTAAACTTTTTTGATAATAAATATATTCTTTTCTTACATATATATATATATATATATATATTATGATTTTATTTTTACCTCTTAATATTTTTCATTTGGATTCATCTTCACTGACTTCAATTAATTTGAAATAAAAATATTATTGATGTTAATGTTATTGAACAGATCTTCCTTGCTTCTGTTACAGGGAAGGAATTCGAATATCTGTGATTGGAGATTCATCAAAGCTACCAAAGTCTCTAAAGAGAATGATACTTAATGCAGAGGAGATGACGAAGGATAATTCGAGACTACAACTCATTGTGGCACTTAGCTACAGTGGGAAATATGATGTTGTCCAAGCATGTAAAAGTGTGGCTAAGAAAGTCAAAGATGGCCTCGTTCAATTGGAAGACATCAATGAAAACATTTTTGAACAGGAACTGGAAACTAACTGTACTCAGTTTCCTAACCCTGATCTGCTTATAAGGACTAGTGGCGAACTTAGGGTTAGTAACTTCTTGTTATGGCAATTGGCCTACACTGAACTGGTCTTTAATGGAAAACACTGGCCAGATTTTGGGAAGGATGAGTTTGTAGAGGCATTAAGTTCATTTCAGAAGAGACAGAGACGCTTTGGTGGACGGCATTCATAATCATCTCTGTTTGCAATGTGGTGCATTTATATCATATGCATTAAATTGATAAGCAACATAAATATTAGTAGCTGCCTAGCTGGTCATGTTTTAGGCATAAGAAAAGTATGCAAGGCTTGCAGAGTTGTTTATTTATTTATTTTTTATCTGGGTGAACAAATTTGTTGACAGACATTTGGAGAAAGAGATATCTGATATTGTATTATGCAGTGTTAGAAGAAGCAATAACATAGAGTATACGTAGAAATAACAGTTGTGAGCAAAAATGTAAAATCGTAAAACATAAACGAAACGGAAGAATTTATTACCTACCATATACATCCAACATATATTTATAGTTATCAAAACCATTATGAAGGAGCCATGAATAATGATTAGAATATATAATAAAAAGATGGAATATAGAATATAAATCAAAGTTGAATGGAAATAAATCACAATATACATAATCACTTAATATAAATAATAATATCTACGGAAATGAAACTAAGAAGCGAACCAAATAATAAAATATATAAAATATAAAGTGGGTGAAATATATACCAAAAAATAATAATAAAATAAAGGAAATAGTATGTAGATGGACAAAAGATTGGATCTTAGGAAGATGGTTTAACAAAGGAGCAAAACAAATAATAAAATAAGAGTTAGGTGGGATATGTAATATCTAACTTTCTAGCTTAAGTTAGTAGGTGCCATCGTGCACCAAAAAAAAAAACAATAAAAAACAATAATAAAATAAAAGAATGGTATGTAGATGGAGCGGAAGGTTGAAAATAAGCATTTTTTTAGGCAGAGATTTGTAATGTCCTCGCTCTTGCTGTGACGGTTCTTCTAGTTTCCTTTGCGGCGGAGCCACCCCTTGTCGCAATATAGATCTGGAGACCACGATCGCGCTGCTTGTAAAGTGGTTCCGCCGACGATGGTTTCAGCAGTTGTAGACGATTGAGCAGAAACTCTAGCGGTGGCTCGGGGTTGTGGTCGTCGTGGGTGTCAGATATGGGTGAGCTATTGTACATAATAACCCACGGAGATAGAGATGAGCCCTTACTTCTATTTCTTTTTTTTTTTGTTTTAGTACTGAGTCCACTGAGTGGACTCGCTGAGTTAACTTGTCATTTCAACCAAATCAGCTCATTTTATGTTTCTATTACCATTTCACATGTTTTCCCTCCTAAAAAATGTAAACTCGTCCATTTTTACAAGTTGAAACTACGATTTAATAACAATGAGAAGAAATGTGAATTTTAAGAGAGCATTCATGGTATACTTGTGTACCTACGAATTCTATTAAAAAATTAACTCTTGGATTATAAATTTTTTTTATCTCTTTTAAGTACATGAATCATAAAATACAGAGTAAACACCCTTTTTAGTCCTTGGCAATATCTACGAAGTCCTTTTCAGTCCCTGGCAATAAAAAAGGACCAAATTGGTCCCTGAAAGTACAAGAAAAGGGTCACTCTACATATTTGAGAGTTGACATAAGGACTAACATGACCCTTTTTTGGTAATTTCAGAGACCAATTTAATCCTTTTTTATTATAAACATTGACATAGATTAAAAAAGATGTTTACTCCAAAATATATCCAATTTTAATTGGCTTATCGCACCGAATCAGCGATAAAATGGAAGTATCATAAATTTTTCGGAGTTTTAGAGATTGCATTATTTTCAAGAACGGTAACAACAGTTTTAGGAAATCATATGTACCGGTAGCAAGAACAAATAATAAAATTTCCACTCAACAAAAGTTGTTCCTGTTAAGCCTCTTATTTGTGCAATATTATTAGGGGAGCATATTTCTCACATTATTTGTTGCAAAATATAAGAAGATAGGTGGAACCTATTAAGAAGAAGAACGATAAAGAAAAAAAAAATTCACATACTTTTTATGTGTACATCAGATAAAATTATTTCATGCAAAATATAAGAAGGTGGGTGAAACTTACTAAGGAGTGGAGAGAAAAAAATAAAATAAATTTCACCCACTTTTTGTATATGCATGCATAGACAAAATTGTCCTTAATTTTCTATATCGTTATCCTCTTTCACTAGCTGTAATAAATTTGAAATCTTTCTTTTTCTTGATATACTCTTTCAATGTACCAAGTGGTCTCTCCAATTGGATAGTTCAAGCATAAAATTCAAAGGCAGGTTTCATTTCCTTTATAAAATAATTGTATTATGTAAATTTCAAGTAGTCTTTTATTTCATTTGTTAACATGACAAATATAGTAGTCTAAAATAATAGATTTTCTCTGCCATTTCATACTCAACAGTTATTGATCTTTTCTATTTTCCTTCTCAGTCTCTTGATTACATTATATACAAAATAAAAGGATTTTTTTTTTAATTTGGATCGTAATTTAGTTTTGGGAGAAAGATTGCACCAGCATCCCTTATTTCTTTTTTTTTTTAATTACTTAACTTCCTATGATTTTTTCCCATCTAAGTCTATCCTTATATTCTTAGAAACTTAATTAATTAATTAATTTTACCATCTTAAGAGAAGAAAATAAACTGAGGACAAAAATAAAGAATAAAGCCAAATATATTTGAAACTTACAACCATTGTTGTTAAAATCTCGATTTATCACTACGATTTTACGTTTTTATGATTTTTTTCATCAAAACGATTTTACTAATATTCCAAGGGAAAACTTTTTCTCATGTTGCATGAGAATTCAACTCTCATGTTAGTGACCCTTCGATTTGCGTGCAAAATTTTTCTTTTCTTTTCTTTTTTTAATAAATATGGGGCCCACCACTAGTTGAGTCACAACATGAGAATTGAATTCTCATGCAACATGAGAAAATCAAATCCCATATTCCAAACGCTTTTACGATTTTTTACATTACGATTTTACGTTTTACGATTTTATAAAAATAGAAATATAGAAGAACTGGAAGAAAAAAATAAAAATAGAAGAAAAAAATGATGTAAAACTTCATAGGTGCAATTTGGGGGAGAAATTTTGTAAATATTATAATTTAGAGAGCACTCATTCACTTTAGTTTGATGTTAAAAGATAAAAAAAACGTTGAAATAATTTTATTTTTCGTATTTTTTGGCAAGTGGTGCAACTTCATAGGGTCCTTTTGTTGTGAGAAGTAATATGATGACATGTTTGTTTATCTTATGCTTATGATAATTTTGGTAAATAAGCTACTTTTTCTACAATAATTTCAGGAAGTATGTATAGATTTTCAGGGGAAAGTTATAATTACAACCTATTTTCGTTTACAACCTCTTACAACCATATCTTAACCATTGATTTTCGTCAATCAACGGTTATCATTTATTGTGAATTAATAATTAATTAATAAATTTAATTTGCGAAAATCTTAACCGATTGACGGAAATCAACGGTTAAGATATGGATGTAAGAAGTTGTAAACGAAAATAGATTGTAAGTATAACCTTCTCCAAATTTTCATGCCTATTATTTTTCAGGGGAAGGATATTGTAACAACCAATTAGTATTACTACCAATTTTACTATCACTTAATTTCACCGTTAGATCGATTATGTTGATCTAACCGTTATATTTATTTTCATCTTTGTACGGTTATGATTCCTCATATTTAATATTTTATATTTATTTCTACTTTTGTATGGTTATGATCTCTCATATTTAATGCTTTCACATAATAAGTTTAGAGGTGTTCAAAATGTCCAAGAGATCCAAACCAGACCACATTTAAAAAACCGATTTTTCTAGAAACCGATTTTATGTTCCAAAAGATTCATATTGCTTTAGAATCTTCAATTGGGGCGATCTGGTTGAAAATAATAGCCAACCAATTCTAGCTACAAATCTGAGATATTATGTACCAATACCATGGTATAATTTTTCATCAAACTGGTTTTGTGCACAACTCATCAAAAATTGGTTTTGAATTTTTACAGGAAATTTTTTTTGTTATAAGATCAGTATTAAACTTAATAACCGGTTTTGATTTAAAACCAATTTTGAATTAAAATCGATTTTCAATCAAAACCAGTTATGAACCACAAACCGATTTGGACAAATTAAAAATCGATTTTTTTAGAAAAAAGTGATTCGATTTAAAAATCAATCTGTTAAAAACTATTTATTTATTTATTATTAGTATTAATTTTTTTTCTAAATACTTGTAACATTACAAATTGCATCATATTATAGTATATATTTGTTAAATTTTGTCTGTAGAAGCCTTTTAAATCAGAATATTTTTTGTGATTCAGACATATTTCATCTATTTTACTTCTTTGTTTTTTTTTTTTCTGTCAGTGTTATAAGTTTCTAACATATTTGACTTTTTTTTTTTTTCTATTTGTCCTTATTTGTCCTCAATTTATTTTAATCTTCTAAAAAGAATGAAATAGACATATTAGTTAGGTTTCTAATGTTAAAAACAAATTTGAATTGAAAAAATCTTAATCTCTTTAAAAAAAATATAAGAGATATATGATTCAAAGGGAAATGATTTTAAACTTTTCCCCTCTTTTCGTACTTTTCAAACTTAATACCCTATAAGGTATTTTTTTTTGGTAATAACCCTATAAGGTATTTAAAGTATTGTCAAGGACCATTTAAAAAAAAATTAATTTATTATAGAATTTCAAAAATAATAATTTATTCTTTTATTGAAAAAAGGAACTTGTTTTGTAAATAAAAACACATGGTCACTTAAATTGTGTTAAAATTATAATTTAATTACAAGAACAATGGTAAAAAAAAAAAGCAAAGTATATGAACATGTAATCTTGTCCATTAATTAAAGGGGACTAATGGAATAGGGTTGGGCTATATAACTTTCGCTTAATACTATAAACTTAAAATTGAAGCATATCACGCTGCATTAATCGGGAACTTTAGTTTTTAGACATGTTTGGTGCATAGTATAGGATAAGACTTGATAGTATAAGGCCTGATTGTATAAGACCTGATTAAATTTTAATACTATCCAGCGTTTGACACGGTATTGTATAAAATAATATATTGTATAAGATAATATCATCTAGTATTTGGTAATGCAATGTATAATATTATATAGGATAAAAATAAATATTTTTAATAAAAATATCTTTTAATAAAGAATTTATATAATTCTTCAAAAAATGTAATGTGATATTAATTTTTATAAAAATTTATTGAGTCCAAAACATAAATTAATTTTTATAAAAATAAAAATATTCAAAATTTTAAAAATCAATATATTGAAAAATTAATTTTTATTTTAATATATTAATATTAAAATAATATATTAATTTTTGAGAATTACAGTGGTCAATGATGTTAATACACCAACCTCTTATCAGGCTTTATCCCTCCCCCTTATGCCGGATTATGTTATACATCGTTTGATGTATTAAGGGATCCTGATGTATAAGCTTATACTATACGATAGTCACACAAAATAACTGAAAATGTCATAACGTATAGTATAAACTTATATTATCATGCCTTATACGTCACACCAAACAGACCCTTATGTTACATAAGATTCATCTCTCATGTTATACTCACACAAAAAGATGTCTCTCACTTTTTTTTTCTTTTTTTAAAAATTAGTGGGCCCCACTTAATTTATCTTACAATATAAGATAACTTACAAAAAAGGCCTTAATTAAAATCGAAAATATTTTTTTTGGTATAAAATTTTAAAATGAACCGTATAAAAACCGGAGAATTCTGAGCTTATAGCTTTTGCCCTAACCCTGTCTCTCTCGTTTCTTGCATCAACATGAATCCATTAACGCTAGTCAAGCGCATTCAGAATATCAATTCGAAAGAAGCAGCACTGGGCATCAGTGAACAAGCTTCATGGCACTCCAAGTACAAAGAATCCGCTTATGTATTCGTTGGTGGCATCCCCTTTGATCTCACCGAGGGTGATCTCCTCGCTGTTTTTGCTCAGTATGCTTTTTTCTCTCCTATTTCATCTATTATTATTCTGATTTTTTATTTTTCTATCTCAAAGATAAAAACTTTGGATGATTTTTGTAAAACCCAGATATGGGGAGGTTGTTGATGTTAATCTCGTTAGGGACAAAGGTACCGGCAAATCAAAGGGTTTTGCATTCCTTGCATATGAAGATCAAAGGAGCACAAATCTTGCTGTAGGTTGGTTTCTGTTCTTTAATTCTGAAATTTGTTATGTATAATATAACCTGAAATTGTCTTGTAATGTTTTTTTTGTGTGTGTGTGTGTGTCTCAGATAATCTGAATGGAGCACAGGTTTTAGGTAGAATTATTAGGGTGGATCATGTGGATAAGTATAAGAAGAAGGAAGAGGAAGATGAAGAGACAGAGCGGCAGAAAAGGGAGGCCCGTGGCATTTGTCGAGCTTTCCAAAAGGGTGAATGTACTCGTGGAGCTGGCTGCAAATTTTCTCATGATGAGCAAGTAAGATAAGCATTCTGCACTACAATCATGCCACAAAAATTTAATATGTATATGCTTAGTTCTATTAACTCCTGTGACTTTATCTTGAAACTTGAACATTATTAAAGTTTGGTCCTATGTAAAACATTATTAAAGTGTTCATATGCAATGCTTTTTTTTGGCTTATTTGAATGAGATATCAGTCTTTGATACTTTGATATCTTGGGAGTGGAATTTTGATATTGGTTGTAGAGCATAACTACATCCAGAATAAATTTTATTTTATTTTTTACTCAGGTTGTTAATGTCTTTGCTAACTTAAAATTTGTTTCACTTTAGCTAGTAAGTCGATCATTTCTAATTAGATGCTACAACCTTCCTGGCAGGCTTGTCTTCTTAGCTTTGTTGAAGCTCATGGGTTTTGTAAAGGGTGTTTCTAGGTCAGACTTGTGAAGAGACTGGGTTTTCCTTATGAGTTGATGTATATTCTTTATTCTTACTTTTCTCCGTTGTTGCTGTTGGTTTTTTCTTTTCGTAGCCTTGGGAGGATTCATGATCCTCCTTCCTAATTTGTACTTTATAGTCTCTCTTTTTTAATAAATTTTTCGTTTATCTAAAAAGAAAACTTTTATTTCTGAAAAAAGGGCTTTTTGTTCAATCAAGATTTACTTTGCTTCTTCCTCTCTCAACTTTGACATTGAGTGACTGAATCTCCACGGGCCTTCCTTCTTCTTATAAACATACTTATTAATCTCGGGCAACGGCGCGTAGCACCTGACCCTCCAAACTACTATAGCGCTATAGCGGGTAGTGCTACAATGCTACTGTGCAAAGTGTACTTAAGTGATACACTAAATTGTACTCCACAAATATAAAACTTAAAATATTAAAATGTGACAAAAAAAACAAATTTGAAGGATCTCAAACTCAAACATAAATGATTTCAAACATTAAAATTCAAATCATAAGCAAATTGAAGGAATTAAAGTCTCAAATAATGTAACACAACAAAATAAAGTGACAAAATTAGTTAAAATTCAAATTGCCACTAAGTGAAATGTCAAAATCAAAGAACATAAGGAACTAATCATAATTGAAATCATGAACATCCAAATCTTCATCTTCACTTTCACTTGTATCTAAGTTGTAAATCTCTTCCTTCTACGACGAGAACACTTTTGCAGAAACTACTATAGCGGCGCAATAGCGCCGCGATTCAGCCGCAATAGCGGCCGCTACATCCGCTACACTTCGTCTGACTGTCGCAGCGCGGTTTGTGGTGGCCGGCCGCTGCACCGCAACGCAACTCCGTTATAGCGCGCTAAAGCGGGGCTATTCACAAGTATGCTTATAAAGAACATACCTCAACAGAGAACCTTATTTTTCCTTTTATTCCGAAACCGTAGAGAATGTAAACAAGAATATTGATGGATATTTAATGAATTATTCCAAGTAGAACGGTGCAGAATGGTAAGGGAAGAAGTTGCACATTGAATTTAATAACTAACACTGAAGCGTGTTCAATGAAATTTAGCTATTGCCTTTGTTTTGATGAGTGTTATATACCTTTACTGAGATTTTATTGAAGTTGTGGTCAATTTGTATTGGTCAGTTTTTGGGGTAAGTTCTACTTGGTTTCTCTAAGCTTCAGTTTGTTCAATTTTGCTTTTATGTAATACCAATAAGCTCTTGTGCTCCTGCTGTGGCCTTATTCTATGATAGTTATTTATGAAGTAAAGAAAGCATTACCAATAATGTGAAATTGAAGAATGATTTAATTAATTGAATAAGAAATCTTTGTTCTGAACTAAATAGTCTGCATATATGGTGGTGTTGGAATAGGAATATGAATTTTAATTCTGTATCTTAAATCTTATGCTTTCTAACTCTAATAATAAAACGAATTCCAATCTTAACAGAATTGGAATTGAATTGACACAAGTTTTACGTATGATTGCAAGGTCAAGACTAATTTGAGCATTACTGTATGGCTCAATAATGGCATAGAATCTCATACGTTCTTGAATATGTTCTTATATAATTAATCTGCATTGTGTAACTACTATTCCATCAAAATTGTTGAATTAGATCTGGAATAGCATTGTTGGTAGCTGGAGATGGACCATGGATGAGTTTTAGTGTCTCCTGTGCTAAAACTCAAGCAACGAGTCTAAGAAATTCAAATAGTGATTAAGCTTGTGAGCTTGCTGATCGTAATGTATAATGGTAGACATGCCTTCTAAGTTCTAACTTGAAATCTCCATTTATTTTGCTTCATCACCCTGTTGTTTGATTTGTTGCTGCTTCTTTTTCTTCCACGTTTTCTCTGCTTTGTTTAGTTTCTGCTCAATTTTGCTTTGCTTATGGTTGAACTATTGAAGCTGTTGATGTTATAAATTGTGCTGAATTTTCGAATAAAATCTGCTGCTTAGATGCAGATGATTTGTCCAGCTACCCTTTTGTTTGTTGAGTTCTTGACTGTTTTTGTTGTCTTTATCCAGAGAGCTGCAAATACTGGTTGGGGTCGTGAGGAAGATAATCCAAAATGGGGTCATGACAAATTTGAGGGTCCCAAGAAAGAGAGAAGATCTGGCAACAACCAATCAAATCGTATTGCAGAAACTCAAGACAGAGACTCACGCCCCAGAACCCATGACAATGAGATGGGATTAGACAATCAACCCAAGAATAGAAGAGAGAAGTTGTTGCAGAGGCATGATGACGATGATAAATTTGAGCGAAGAGAAAATACCAGTAGGAGAGAAGAAAAGAGATCAAGAAGGCATGAAGATGATGAATTTGAACGTAGGTCCAGAGAAGATCGATATGGGAGAGAAGAAAAAAGATCAAAAAGTAATGGTTATGATGATAAGGAACCTGAGCCATTAGATCATCATAGAAGGGAAGAGAAGAGGTCAATAAAGCTAGAAGATGCCGAGTTTGAACCGAAGGCAAGATATTCTAATATAAGGGAAGATAAAAGACCCAGGAAGCAGAATGAGGATGATTTTGGAAGTAGGTCAAGAGAAACTCATAGTAACTGGGAAGACAGGAAATCAAGAAAGTACAATGAAGATGAATCTACACCAAGGTCAAGAGACGATTATGATAGGAAGCAAGATAACAGATCATATAGAAATGACATGGATCGACCAGAGTCAAAAGCAAGATATGATTTTGACCGGAGAGAAGAGAAGAGATCAAGAAGGTAAGGGCAATATGTGAGATATGGGGTTTGAGGATCTCATTCCTCCTTTGTCGTGGAGAGAAATGAGTATTGAAGTAAGTTGAACATCATTTGATAACCTCAATTGTGATTCAGCGCTTATAATATTTCCATTGTCATTTTGTTTGTCATATGATTGCTTACACTGCTACGAGGGCAATGGTAATTATCGTTTTGGTGTGATCAGTTTGATAAATGTTTGGTCTGGCTCAATGATCTCCAACTACCAATGCTAATGCTGCATAAATTCAATAACTTTGGTCAATACCTATTACTATTACTGATGCCATCTTTTTAGTTTTTGTACATGCTAGCAAAGAGCAAAAGCTCTGGCATGTCAAAGCTCCCAATTTTAATGGTTCTGGTAAAAAATGTAGAGATTATTATTTTAAGTGTTATATTAGTGTTTTACTCTTGATTGCGGGTATTTTATCTTTTCATTTGTAAATGTTTATAAAAAGAGAGGTAGATATAAAATCTAGTCTTGTGAAGATATGAGAGCTTTTCTTGATGATTTACTAGCTTTTATTAGAAAGGAGGAGGGTTTAAAAAAGAACAGGACTACATACTGCCTCTTGCTTGAAATCTTGTAATTTTCAAGATATTCTCCATCATTGCTAGGGAAAAAAAGGTGTTTTTTGGGGGGGGGGGGGGGGGGGGGGGGTTTGTGTACTTTGAAATGCTTTATAAGGGTTTGTATTTTCTCCTGCAGGAGTAGATTTAGGAGATTTCTCCTCTTTGCAGACTCAGGCTATGTGGGTTCCCCCACTATAAAAAAGAAGGGTTATGTTTATCTCATTTTACATGAGATAAACATCTCTCCTACACACACAAAAAGGAGTTGGGTCCCACCACTTGTTTTTTCTCTCTCCTCTTACACGTGGGTCCCACTTATACCTTTATTTCTACAACATGAGGTAATTCTTTTCCTACAACATAAGAAAAATATATCCCAAAAAAGAAAAGAAAAAGAGAAGGCACGTATTTTTATATATATGCATGAAGAATATTGTCTCTCCTATTTACAGGAGAGACATATTTCCCTTATTATTAAAGGCTTTATAATCTGACTTAATACATTTCAATTAAAAAGGTTTGAAAGGCTTTATAATCTGACTTAATACATTTCAATTAAAAAGGTTTGTTAAGTTATTTTATAATCTTTGATAATCAAAATTCTTATATTGATTGGGTAATCCATTTTATTTCCGAAATTCACATGTAAATAAACCGCGTCGTAAAAACCCTCCAGAGAAAAGCAGAATAGAATAGAGAATATTCACAGTCGCTTAAGTAAATTTGCAATACACAAACTGCTACATTTCAATTTTCAACTTACTTTTAGTCACATATTCTCATTAGAATGATAGTTTTGTTTCTGGAAATAATGGCTTATATAGGCCATAGTTACTGACATAATTTGACTTCATTACACATATTATTCGAAGAAAGGAGCAACTTCATCCATGAAATACAACTGTAGTTAACTTTTGCTGCTTATCATATTATCAATAAGTTCCCTAACAGAAATGGAAGAAGACCCACCGCTGAGGACTGTTTTCCTGGCCATCTCTTTCATCTCTTGCACCTTCTTGTACACCATATTATCTCTGTCCATCAATTGTTTCAGCCCTTTCTCTATCTCCTCTGCCATTACAAGAGCACTATCTCTTCTATAATCCAATCTCAGCTCCACAGCTAATCCCAGTTCTCTCACCAGCCTAAAAGCATTAAGCTGTTGTTCTGCATAGATAGGCCATGTCAATATTGGTACCCCAAACCACAAGCTTTCCAAAATAGAGTTCCATCCACAATGAGATACAAACCCACCAATGGCTTTGTGAGCCAGAACCTCGACCTGGGGTGCCCATCCACATAGCATTCCCTTACCTTCCATCCATTCTAAGAACCCTTCTGGTAACTTTCTCTCTGCATTGTCTGTGGTTGGTGGAGAACGCATAGCCCACAAGAACCTAACTCCACTACGCTGAAGTCCTAGTGCTATTTCTCTTGTCTGAGATGGACCAAAGCTTCCCATGCTTCCAAAACATAGAAAGACAACAGAGGAAGGAGGCTGCTCATCTAGCCATTTCAACATACGGTCATGCTCGGCTTGGTCTAAATTTGGGTTAGGTTGACCTTTGAGATCAATCAATGGACCAACAGCATAGATAGGAGGGGTCTGGTTATCAGATAATGCATCAATGGCATACTGCTCCAACTCTGGAAAAGTATTAACAATAATCCCTTTGGTGTCTCTGAACCTCTGAGCAAGCTTGTAATAAGCAACATAGCCACCATCTTTGCTAAAACAGGCATCGGGTAAAACACTTGAAGGAACTAGATTGGAGAAACCCGGAATCAACAACTCAGGATCAGATTCATTGAACACATCCTCAATTTGACGGTTCAGAAGGGAAAGCATGAGACCCAAAAATCCAACATTTGATGTCATAAACAAATAAGAAGGTATACCCAGTTCATTTCCCACATCAATCATGGAAACACAGAAGAAATCTAGGACAAGCCCAACAACTGGGTTTGAATCAGAGCTAGGATAAGATGATAAAATGTTTTGCAGAGTGGCTTTAACATGTGGTATTAGGCTCTCCATGAAGGTCAAGATGTAGTATTCTGGAGATTTCAATAGCTCCTGTGAAGGTGGTTCTACTTCAGGGAGATCAATGAGTTGGATTTGAGGTTGTGAGGCTAAAACTGATTTGATGTATGAATCTGAAAATGGAGTATATTGGAACTTGATGCAGAGGACAGTGATGGAAAGATGTTTATCACGGTTGATGAGGAGCTGTGCAAATTCTAGGGCTGAAGCTAAGTGGCCAATCCCCGGTGAGGGAATGAAGATAAGCTCTGCTTTCTTCTTCATCTCAGTGTTAGCCATTTTTCTTCTTCTTTTTGTGTGGTGGTGGTGGGAGAGGAATAATAGGATTTATGTTTCACTTTAGCCTCTGACTTTAATGGCACAAGACAGGAGCGAATTATTAGAGGAGTATAGGAAAAGGATATACGATCAACCATTTGCTGGCATCCAATTATTTTATTCAACTTTTCTGATGTGCTGGTGATGCTTACATAGTTAATGATTAATCAAGGGGAACCCACCTATCTTGGGATTCATTGGTGTTCAGTTTATATTCTGCCTTGAACTTGTTTGCATAAATAACTTAACATCAACATCACCTGTAATTCCTTTAACTCAAGTTAATTGGGATCGACAATAGATGAACTAATAATATATAAGAGGAGATTAAAAAATAAAATAAAATAAAATAAAAAATAAATAAATAAAAATTGGAGAAGGGCGATTAAAGAAGAAAATGACTAAAAAGGAGTCATCTGGAACATAGGAATAATAATGGATTTAACCTTCCCCATACTTATAGTTTTTTTCCATTCTGTCCTAAGACATACCGTTCACTAATCTATATCCCACTCCATTAAGTCTTGTTTAACTACTTTTTTTCAAGTAAGTTTCGGTCTACCTCTCTTTGTGTCGAGCTCTTGGTAACAAATTTTTGTTCTTACAGAAACATCTAGGGATTACGTGTCCAAACCATCTCAATCTATGTTCTCTTATCTTTTCAGTTACCGGTACTACTTTTACTTTTCGTCGAATATCTTCATTTCTTCTCTTATCCATCCTCGTATAACCACACATCCACCTTAACATCCTCATTTTTGCAACTCTCATTTTATGCTCGTGTTGCCTATGTGCTGGCCAACATTCAGCTCCATATAACATTGTAGGCCTTACTGGTGTTCTATAGAATTTTCCTTTCAGCTCAAGGGAAATTTTGTGGTTACATAAAAATTCAGATGCACTCTGCCATTTCATCTATGATTTACATCCTGCTCAATCTCACCACTTTTTTGCAAAATTTTGATCCCAGGTATCTAAAAACATCTTTCTTGGGTACCTCTTGACCAAATAGATGCACAGGGTCTTGATCTCATCTTTTACCAGAAGAAACTCACACTTCATATACTTAGTCGTCCAAAGTGCTTCTCCACAATTCAAGTTTCCTATTAATACCATCTTTGGTCTCATCAATAACCACAATATCATCTGCAAAAAACATACACCAAGGCACTTCCTCTTGAATGTCTTTTGTTAGTTCATCCATCACTAAGGCAAAGAGATAAGGACTCAGGGCGGAACCTTGGTGTGCACCTACTGTAATAGGGAGATAACTTGATGTTCCATTACAAGCTTTCACACATGTAGTAGACCCATCATACATATCCTTGATTGCATTTACATACTTTGATAATACTTTTTTCTTCTCAAGAATCCACCATAAAATTTTTCTTGGGACCCTATCGTATGCTTTCTGAAGATCTATGAACACCATATGTAAATCCTTCTTTTTTTCTCGATATCTTTCCATCAATTGACGCATCAAGAAAATAGCTTTTGTGGTACATCTTCCTGACAAAAATTCAAATTGATTTACAGAAACCTTGGTCTCTCTCCTCAAACAATGTTCAATAACTCTTTTCCACAATTTCATAGTATTGTTCATGAGCTATTGAGCTTAATGCCTCTATAGTTAGAACAATTCTGGATATCTCCCTTATTTTAGTAAATAGGCATAAGCACGCTCTTCCTCCAAGCATCAAACATTTTATTTGTTTGAAGAATCTTATTGAAAAAATAAATTTATTTTTTGTCGATAATAAATTTTTTAATTACACTTAAAAAATATTTCATATGTTTAAAGTTCAATCAATGTGAATGTCATGATTTAATAGCTTATATTAGAAAGGGGAAGGGCTGAAAATTGAACAGGAATACCCCTTTCGTAACACTATTGAAGGAAGGGAAAAAATGTACATCCACATACATTCAGGAAATGTGGGAGTTTGCTTGAAATCTTTTATTATAAATGGTTTTACTTGAAATCTAGCCAATTTGTTACATTTAATTTACGGAAATCATGCTCTCCTGTTGCGGGAGAGCAAAAAATTTTCCTAAATAAATTCATTTTTCGTGTCTGTTAATTTTTTTTTTTTAATATAAAATGTGACTCATATTTAAATTGTCATAAGAAAACATGAGTCTTTTAATTTAAAAGGTTTGTTTAAGTTGTTCTGTAATCTTCGCTAATCACAATTTTTAAATTGGTTGACGATCCCTTTTATTTCCAGTTCAGATGTGAATGAACAGTATCATTAAAACCCTTCCCAAAAAATAAAACAATAAGAAAAGCATAACAGAATAGAAAGAATAATCACAGTTACTTAAATACATCTTTACATCTACGAGACACAAACTGCTCCAATATCAATTTTCAACTACTGTTCAGGAGACATTGTCTTATTGGAATGATAGGATGAAACTCTTTATTCTTATACTAGTATTAGTCAAAATTCAAGTTTGAAATTCATGTAATTAATCTCTCTTTTTTTAGTTAATTCCAGAAAAAACAGAACACCGAAAGAACTAAATGAACCGAGAAACTCTCAAGTACGATTCTAAAGAAAGGAATTGACTCACCTATTCCGACCGCGGAGAATAGGCCATTCGACAAGAAAATTCTGAAGTTGTCGAGTCTTGGTTTGATTAAGCTGCTGAATATTGGAAACAAACTATAGCTCTCACTCCCGGTAATTATATTGAAGCACTGGATTGGTTGTAGATAACAGGGCATTTTGAATAAAAACACTCTGTTTATTCTCTATATATTATCTATATGTTATCTTTATTTATTTTTATCTATTTTGTTTCTATTCTATAGAATTCTATATAGAATAGAAACAAAATAGAAATGAATTTTGTTTATTTCTATTTTGTTTATTCTATTTTATTTATTTTTATCTTTAACTTGCTATAATTAATTGTTTGTGGTCCATATTAGTAATAATAATAAAAAAATAAATCATTTCTATAGTAATAACTATTATGGAATATTTCCATATCCTAACCACCTACCCAAGGATCCCTTAAAGGATAATTCTCTAATTATCCTAATAATATAAAACAGTAAGACAGCTAAGGATAGAGTCCCTATCCCAACAGAAAGAAAGTTAAATCCTACTACAACTGGGAGATCTACACAAGCCCAAGAGGTAGCCCTTATAAATAAGAGGTTAAAGACCTAAGGTATACACTTTTAACCTATTTTACTACTTCTGCCCACACTGTGCACACATCCACGTCTCGGCTATAAGCCTATTGCTTGTCCGCAGTGTTGGGGATATTGACTATAAGCCAATGAAGATACCTATCCATAGGATATCTCTGAGCGCATACCATACGATATAGCAATACGGTCTTTTCTGGACCGAACATTGGCGCCGTCTGTGGGAAACGACAAATTTCGACTCCTATCCATGGTGAGCACGCGTGCCGTATAGCACAAAGCCACAGATTGCAGGCTAACTCGCGCACCCTGAAATTGTTGAAACCACATATATATAAGGAGACAAACCCTACCGCAAAAGGGCTTTTGATCCTCTGAGAGACTCTAGAATGGAGCTCTAGATCCAAGCAGATGACGATTTGACAGAGATTCTCGTCGTCGCACTTCAAATTTATTAGCTCGGCCTCGGCTTTGAGCTCAGCCCAACTGTTGAGATATATAGTCCCACATTGGTTGTACGTGCAACTAATGTGGAGTTTATAAGACCTTGGGCACTCCCACCCCTTGAGCTAGTTTTTGGGGTGGTGTATCCCATGGTTCTTTACATGGTATCAGAGCCTCGTGTCCCGGGTTCAATCTTCGCCGTCCCCTACTTTCTCTTGTGGCGTTTCTTAGCACAGGTAGCCTGTTGCATTGTCCACTCTTCAAGCCCAATGGGCTCTTGTGTGAGGGGGCGTGTTGAGATATATAGTCCCACATTGGTTGTACATGCAACTAATGTGGAGTTTATAAGACCTTGGGCACTCCCACCCCTTGAGCTAGTTTTTGGGGTGGTGTATCCCATGGTTCTTTACATGGTATCAGAGCCTCGTGTCCCGGGTTCAATCCTCGCCGCCCCCCACTTTCTTTCAAGTGGAATTTCTTTGTTCGCACAGGTAGGTGGGCCTGTGCATTGTCCACCCTTCAAGCCCAGTGGGCTCTCGTGTGAGGGGGCGTGTTGAGATATATAAAATCATTAAAAAGCCCTCACCCACTAGCTTAAGCTTTTGGGTTGAATTGGTTCTTTACACCAACGAAGGGCTTCATGTTTAATAGCTCGACCTCAGCCTTGAGCTCCAACTCAGCCCATTGAAGGGCTTCAAGATTAAAGCCCAGCCTCAGCCTTGAGCTTCATCTCAGCCCAGCTAAGGGCTTCAAATTTAATAGCTCGGCCTCAGCCTTGAGCTCAGCCCAGTGAAGGGCTTCAAGTTTAATAGCTCGGCCTCGGCCTTGAGCTCCAATTCAGCCCAGAGAAGGGCTTCAAATTTATTAGCTCGGCCTCGGCCTTGAACTCAGCCCAACGAATGGCTTCAAGTTTAATAGCTCGGCCTCGACCTTGAGCTCTAACTCAGCCCAGAGAAGGGCTTCAAATTTGTTAGCTCGGCCTCGGCCTTGAGCTCAGCCCAACGAAGGGCTTCAAGTTTAATAGCTCGGCCTCAGCCTTGAGCTCTAACTTAGCCCAGAGAAGGGCTTCAAATTTGTTAGCTCGACCTCGGCCTTGAGCTCAGCCCATCGAAGAGCTCAGCCCAGTGAAGGGCTTCAAGTTTAATAGCTCGGCCTCAGCCTTGAGCTTCAACTCAGCCCAGTGAAGGGCTTCAAATTTATTAGCTCGGCCTCAGCCTTGAGCTCAGCCCAATGAAGGGCTTTAAGTTTAAAAGCTCGGCCTCAGCCTTGAGCTCCAACTCAGCCCAGTGAATGGCTTCAAATTTATTAGCTCGGCCTCGGCCTTGCGCTCCGTCCAAGAAGGGCTTCAAGTTTAAAATCCCGGCCTCGGCCTTGAGCTCCAATTCAGCTCAGAGAAGGGCTTCAAATTTAATAGCTCGGCCTCGGCCTTGAGCTCCAATTCAGCCCGAAGAAGGGCTTCAAATTTATTAGCTCGACCTCGGCCTTGAGCTCAGCCCAACGAAGGGCTTCAAGTTTAATAGCTCGGCCTTGGCCTTGAGCTCCAACTCAGCCCAATGAAGGGCTTCAAGTTTAATAGCTCGGCTTCGGCCTTGAGCTCCAAATCAGCTCAATGAAGGGCTTCAAGATTAAAGCTCGACCTCAGCCTTGAGTTATGCCCAACAAAGGGCTTCAAGTTTAAAAGCTCGGTCTCAGCCTCGAGCTCAGCCTAATGAAGGGCTTCAAGTTTAAAAGCTCGGCATCAGCCTTGAGCTCAGCCCAACAATGGGCTTCAAGATTAAAAGCTTGGCATCAGCCTTGAGCTTCAACTCAGCCCAGTTAAGGGTTTCAAATTTATTAGCTCGACCTCGGCCTTAGCTCAGCCCAACAAAGGGCTTCAAGTTTAAATGCTCGGCATCAGCCTCAAGCTCAGCCCATTGAAGTGCTTTAACTTTAATAGCTCGGCCTCGGTCTTGAGCTCAGCTCAACAATAGGCTTCAAGTTTAATAGCTCGGCCTTAGCCTCGAGCTCAGCCTAATGAAAGGCTTCAAATTTATTAGCTTGGCCTCGACCTTGATCTCAGCCCAACAAAGGACTTCAAGTTTAAAAGCTCGGCATCAGCCTCGAGCTCAGCCCAATGAAAGGCTTCAACTTTAATAGCTCGGCCTCGGCCTTGAGCTCAGTCCAACAAAGGGCTTCAAGTATAAAATCTCCGCATCAGCCTCGAGCTCAGCCCAATGAAGGGCTTCAACTTTAATAGCTCGGCCTCGGCCTTGAGCTCAGCCTGACAAAGGGTTTCAAGTTTAAAAGGTCGGCATCAGCCTCGAGCTCAGCTCAGTGAAGGGCTTCAAGATTAAAGCTCGGCCTCAGCCTTGAGCTCAACTCAGCCTTAACCTTATCTTCAGGCTCCGAGATCAAAATGAAGACATAAAATGAGAGATGTGATCCTAATAAAAGGATCACACCCCAACCTGAGATAAAAATGAAGACAGAAAATGAGAGATGTGATCCTAATAAAATGATCACAACCCAATCCGAGATAAAAATGAAAACGGAATCGGAGAGATGTGATTCTAGTAAAAAGATCACACCTCAATCCGAGAAGAAGAATTTGGAGAGATCGTGATCCTGGAAAAAGATCACACCCCACTTTGAGATAAAAGAAAATCTGAGGCGACATATGATGTTGGGCTTCTATTCAAGATTTTGGCAATAAAGCCAAATGACAAAGTTTGCGGCCCAACAGGCCAGCCTCAAATTAAAGATCCACCGTAAATGAAGCGGGGTTCAAAATAAGAAAACCACAGCGTAAGAAGCCGGGTTTAGATAAAAAGTCCACCGCTAATGAAGCGTGGCTCAAAGTAGAAAGCCACGGTATGCGAAGCCGGGCTCAAACAAGACTGGAAAAAAGTCTAGTCCAACAGTAAAGCATCGGTACGTTAAGCCGGGCTAAAATCAGAAAGGCAATGATACTGCCTTCAAAAGTGTAGACAAGGCAAAAGCCAAGTCAATTTAAAGAAAGCCACGGTATGTGAAGCTGGGCTCAGAATGAATAAGGCAGAAAACTGCCCTAGTAACTTAAGACTACAACAGCAAAGCCAAGTCGTTAAGGTTTTGGCCACAAAGGCCTAACAGGCTGGCCTCAAATCAAAAAGTCATCGCGAATGAAGTGGGACTAAAAATAAAAGCCACGGTATACGTATTCGGGCTTAAAATCGAGGCGGCGAACTCCTTCTTCAAGAATCCAAGACTATGGCAAAAGAAGCCAAGTCCGTCAAAAGCAAGAAAAGTCATGGTATTCGAAGTCGGACTAATCGTTCAAGAAGGAACGGAAGACCTTCCCAGAATTAAGATATAGGCAGCAAGTCAAATCCAAAAGGGAGAAGTCGTAGTAAGAAAATCTGTGCTCCCTAAAGTACAATACACCTTTGCAAAAGGTCAAATCCATGCTAATAGAGATCTCGGTATGCGAAACCGAGCCAAATCTGGAACCACGACACTTAACGCCAGGAAGTGCAAAGTCGGGTTAATTATTAAGGAGGTACGAAATGCCATCCTAAAACTTAGGCGAACGCCTATATAAAAGACTGACTATAAGCCTAGTCAAAACTAAAAAACCTCGGTAAGAGAAGCCGAGCTCAAAGTCAACAAAAAAAGGCAAACACCGCCTCACCACTCAGAGACTTCAAGAGAAAAGAAGCCAATATAAAAAGCTAAGCCCAGAAGAGGTAGTCACACCAGACCCAAGGCATGATCATAGTACCTCGGTAGGGTCGACCTATCAATCAAACTTAGGCACCCCAGCAGTCCGAGCTTCCGAACTGCCGGGCTGGGGGCAACTGTTATGGAATATTTCCTTATCCTAACCACCTACCAAAGGATCCCTTAAAGGATACTTCTCCAAGTATCCTAACAATATAAAATAGTAAGGCAGCTAAGGATAGAGTCTATATCCCAACAGAAAGGAAGTTAAATCCTACTACAACTGGGAGATCTACACAAGCCCAAGAGGTAACCCTTATAAATAAGAGGTTAAAGACCCCAGGTATACACTTTTAACCTATTTTACTACTTCTGCCCACACTGTGCACATACCCACGTCTCGGCTATAAGCTTATTGCTTGTGCGCAGAGATGGGGATATTGGCTATAAGCCAACAAAGATACCTATCCATAGGATATCTCTGAGCGCATACCATACGGTATAGCAATACGGTCTTTTCTGGACCGAACAATAACCAATCAACTAATTTCATTACCACCCCTAAAAAAAATCCGTTCTATTTCATCTGGTATTTCATAGAGTTAAACGGATACAAGGATCGATACAGTAGATAATTCCTCCTTTTGTGCTATTAAAACTAATAAAATAAAGAAAGGAGACCCTGGAAAAACGAAATTGAAATATCGGTATATTACTTAGTAATAATGGTAATAACTGTTCATGCGATATAAAATCGAGTACATAATAATATCTTCCTTCCTTCCATGTAAGATAGAACATAATTTTTTTTCCATCCAGCAACTTTTAAGTGAAATCGAAATACAATACACCGTATTGCACAAAAAAAAAAATTATTTCGCTTCAGTACACAAAGTCAAGCCTTGCTTGTGGAAATAATGGCTTACATAGGCTCCAGTTACTGAAATAATTTGACTTTTATTCATTGATTTTAAGAAAGGGGCAACCCCATCTAGGAAATACAACAACAGTTATCACTTATCAGTTGCGGCCCATCATATTATCAATAAGTTCTTGAACAGAAATGAAAGAAGACCCACCGCTAAGGACAGCTTTCCTTGCCATCTCTTTCATCTCTTGGACCTTCTTGTGCACCACGTTATCTCTTTCCATCAAGTGTTTTAGTCCTTTCTCTATCTCCACTGCCATTACAAGATCACTACCTGTTCTATAATCCAGACTCAGCTCCACTGCTAATCCAAATTCCCTCACCACCTTATAAGCATTCAGCTGTTGTTCTGCATAGATAGGCCATGTCAATATTGGTACCCCAAACCACAGGCTTTCCAAAATAGAGTTCCACCCACAGTGAGATACAAACCCACCAATGGCTCTGTGGGCCAGAACCTCCACCTGGGGTGCCCACTCACATAACATTCCCTTACCTTCCATCCATTCTAAGAACCCTTCTGGTAAGGCACTCTCTGCATTATCTGAGCCTGGTGGAGAACGCATAGCCCACAAGAACCTAACTCCACTACACTGAAGTCCTAGTGCTATTTCTCTTGTTTGAGATGGAATAAAGCTTCCTCTACTCCCAAAACATAGAAAAACAACAGAGGAAGGTGGCTGTTCATCTAGCCATTTCAATACACGGTCATGCTGGGCTTGATCTAAATTTGGGTTAAGTTGACCTTTGAGATCAAGCAAAGGACCAACAGCATAGATAGGAGGGGTTTGGCCATCAGATAATGCATCAATAGCATCCTGCTCCAACTCTGAAAAGGTATTAACAATAATCCCTTTGGTGTCTCTGAACCTCTGAGCAAACTTGTAATAAGCAACATATCCACCATCTTTGCTAAAAGCAGCACGAGGTAAAACACTCGAAGGAACTAGATTGGAGAAACCCGGAATCATCAACTCAGGGTCAGAATCATTGAACACATCCTCGATTTGGCGTTTCTGAAGGGAAAGCATGAAGCTCAGAAATCCAACATTTGATGTCATAAACAAATAAGAAGGGATGCCCAGTTCATTTCCCACATCAATCATGGGAACACAGAAGAAATCTAGGACCAACCCAATAACTGGATTTGAATAAGATGATGATAAAATGTTTTGTATAGTGGCTTTGACATGGGGTTTGAGGATCTGCATGAAGGTCCATATGTAGTGTTGTGTAGCTCTCAAAAGCTCCTGAGGAGGTGGTTCTACTTTAGGGAGATCAATGATTTGGATTTGAGGTTGAGAGGCTATTACTGATCTGATGTATGAATCTGAAAAGGGAGTAATTTGGGACTTGATACTGAGGACTGTGATGGAAAGATGGTTGTCACGTTTGATTAGGAGCTGTGCTAATTGGAGGGCTGAAGCTAAATGGCCAATCCCCGGTAATGGAATGAAGATCAGCTCTGCTTTCTTCTTTATCTCAGTCTCAGCCATTTTCTTTGGTTTTTTTTTTGGTGTGGTGGAGACACTGGAAAGAGGAGGGAGTTCCTTTATTTATGTTTCACTTCAGGCATCATTTGTTAATTTGACTTGAATTTATTTATTTATTTTTATTTTTAATACAACTGAACACTTAACTTAATATAAACTATCTAAATCTCTTATCATTTGAAAGTAAATTTTCTCATATAAAAAAGTAGTCATGTGATCATATTATTTGATCAAATCACTCATTTAAAAATTATATATATTTTTCTTATTTTATCATCTATAAATGATTATGATCAAATAACATCAACATGTTAAAAATATTTTCAATACAAATCTCTTACCAGTACATCAATCGTAACGGCTTACTTCAGCTTCAGTTTGATCTTTCATCACACCAAACAAAACAGCTGCGGGAACAAACCTTTGACTATGTAGGGCACATGAACAATTCCGCCACAAACACGACAAAGAAAAAATGATAAGATAAAAAGAATACTTGAGTGTGGAAAAAGTATACTTGATTAACAAGAAAGGAAATGTTAAATAACTAGCAACTATCTCGTAAACTGTATCCTATTTTTTAAAATTCAGGTAAACCATAAAAAAATATACATTAAAAGAAAAAGAAAAATATATTTAAATTTATAATAGAGACTTAGATAAATAATTTAAGTAAAATTTTAAAAAAATGTTTGAAATTATAATGAACACATAATCAATTAATTTAAAAGAATTCAAGTTTGTTTGTTTTTCTTTAATTGAGAATCACATATATCATTCTAAAAAAAAAAAAAAAAACTAGATTAAGCGATTTAATCTCTTTCAAGATAACAAAATTTTAATTTAATATTTTGACGTACAATGTACGTTCAACATCAACGCATTACTAAAGTACCCACTGACAGTTCATGTAATTTTACCATTTGCTGGACCTCTGGTATTAAACTATTTAAGCAATATGTGTCGACTTTAGCTTTCACCGAAAAAGAGTTCGACTGCATTCAAGTTTGAGAAGGAGCTTTATCCAGAAGCAACTGTGCCTAATGTATTTGTTGTGTTAGTTGCATTATTTGAGGTTCAGATACTGCGATGCATATTCACATAATAATTTTTTAAAAAGAATATATTTAACAGTGAAACTGATTAGTACACAAAAATCTCGTTGTTAGTCCCACTTTTATTAACTTTTTTTTTTGTGAATATCTAAAATTTAGTTTCGATTCCAAATTTATAGATGTTTTTATAAGGTGGGACATAAATTACATAACTCCATTACTTAATACAAGGGGGGAAATTAGTAGTTTCAACTTTTTAACTGATTATTATTATTTTTCAAATTTTTGGAGTGGTTTACACAGAGTCATGAACAGTGGGTCAGGAGAAGTTGGGCTTTTTCACCCTTTTGCCCCTTATTAATTAATTAATAACCATTTTGCCCCTGATTCGAAACTATCTACCAATCTGCCCCTCTTTAATCGACTACCTTGCATTTTTAATCGACTAAACGGTTGTTGGGAGATCTAATCGACTAAATCTCTCTACTTAATCGATTAAAATCATACTGACTTATTTTTTTTTTTGTAAAATATGAAGATTTAGTCGACTAAATCTCCCAGCAGCCATTTTTTGTCTGTTTTGGTCATTTAGTCGATTAAAAATGCAAAGTAGTCGACTAAAGAGGGGCAGATTGATAAATAGTTTCGAATCAGGGGCAAAATGGTTATTAATTAATTAATAAGGGGTAAAAGGGTGAAAAAGCCGGAGAAGTTGTGCATTATTATTCTTCCATTTTTCGGCCGCCACACCGCGTTTGAGAAGTATTTTTTTTTAGATATTTCAATCGATTCATTATTTCACAATTAATTTGATTTAGGATGGATTTCAAAATTAAAATTTTAAATTCTTTCTAAAAATAATACTGTTATGGATCTGATAAAGACCCATATTCTAGAAGGTCCAAATAGAATTAACAACTAAGAGAGAATTAAGGAAATATTCCTTAATTACACTAATCTTACTACGGTAGCAATGGATCAACAATTGGACCCCCGAATACTCCTAAGAGGCCCAAAAGTCCACTCCTGTTAGGTAAAGGGTTAAACCAATAAGGTATACACACTCTAAACCCTCTCTCTTAGCTTGTCACTGTGCACACACCCCACTCCTTGACTATCCGCTGATCTCTAGGATACCTCTCCTCTCCTATAGGTACCTGAGAGAGGGCAAACAGATCCTATATTAACATACCAATCTCTGATTGGACATATCGATCTATCAGATCGTAACATTGGCGTCGTCTGTGGACAGGGGGAAGATTCATTTTTTTACATTCCAAAATACGAAATAAAAATATGCAGTGACCCCTTTGACTCCTCTAACCCGAGAGTCAAGGGTTTAACCTAACCGGGGGTTTCGGGGGTTAGAGGGGTCAACATGCAAGTAGGGTCTAACTACTAACCCGAATCCTCTGAGAGAAAGGGTCAGTGACTCGGAGAGGTCGACCCCAGAATGGGGCGGGATTTTAAAACACTGATTTGAGTTTGAGGAGAACAAAGTTATAGTAATATTGTTAAAAGGAGCACTACTCAAGTATAGTCATACCAACAACAACCGTGCTTGATGTGTTAAAATAGCTATGCGAGTGCATTATTTCCATGGACATAAATAATTGACCGACCAATTCAACTGGTAAATCAGTAAATTGATCAGGTGTTTAATCTATTTAACTTTGAAAACCATACATGCAGATAATCGGTTATCTGTACTAACACGGTAGTTTGGATCCTTTTTTATTAAAAAGAAAACAAAAACAAATAAATAGGCGATTCAACATTGTTTTATAGAGTGAATATAGGCATGAAATATACAATACCAACGTTGGATCAGCTTTTGCCTTGCTGGTGTTTTGGCATTGAGTTTTTGGTAATTTACTATACGATAGATTTGATATGGTGGTTGTCTAAGTCAACCACGAGGTTTGACTTAGTTGTCTAAGCCCATTAGAATAATTTGAGAGTTCCTGAAAGAGGCAAAAGAAGATATATTCTTGCAGCCACAATACCCAGTAAAAGATAGCAACAAGCCTTTCTATCTGTGTCTTTTAAGTAAAAGTAATCCTTGAGCAAGTACAATAAAAAGTTCTTAACATTTAACAATGTAGCACTTCATAGATATCTTGTTATGTATTTTTTATACAGAAAAAGGTTAGCTTTTCAGCTTCCTTGTTATTTCAGCAATATATTTACCCTGGTAAAAGGCCTGCTGCAGTTCTAGCTCTGTAGGTTGACGAGTTCCATCTCCTGCAAAAGTTCCAGCACCATATGCTGAGCCTCCTTTTACCTCATCCATCTCAAACATGCCACTTCCAAAGGTGTATCCAAGGGGAACGAAAAGCATACCATGATGAGCTAATTGAGTTATAGCTGTCAATCTGCAACCATCACATAAAGAGGAAACTGAAAAATTATACTAGTAGTCGTAAATAGAATGTCATGCCAAGCAATATCATGCATAACATTGTTAAGTAAATGAAGTAGTTGCATTCCAATGTATGATCAACAATTGTATAGAGGAAGGATCTTTTTTTTTTTTATATGTATAGTAAAGAAGTTTGTTTTCTTTTATATTAATGTGATAAGAATCAAATGAAACATTTTTCTGTGGAAATGTAAGGGGGGATGGATACTCACGCTGAAAGTTCCTGGCCTCCCCCATGAAAACCAGTACTCCAGAAGATTCCAGCAGGTTTGCCAGCCAATGCTTGAGATGCCCAAAGCTCATCAGTGGCTTCAAATAAGGCCTTGAACTGGCTTGGCATCATGCCAAAACGAGAAGGAAAACCAAATATAAAACCATCAGCCTCCAGAAGTTGTTCTGGCCTAATATCTGCTACATCATTTGGTTTAGGAGGGGCCTTCATCTTTTCCAATATTCTATCCGAAAGCATCTCAGGTACCTATTTTCAGCAAACTCAAATCAAACTACTAACTGAGAATGGATCCAAATATTTGCTAGTGATTGAAAAATTACCCTCCAGAGTGTTGCTTCTACACCATCAACTGAAGCTGCCCCTCTGTGTACTTCTCTTGCCATAGTGTCCACATGACCATACAATGAGTAATACCTGCGAAAATTGATGTGATACATAATAGTCACAAAACCATAAAATTCAAGTTTGTTGTGTCACCTTTTAATATGATTAATTCTTGGGTTGGGCAGTTGGAGTATATGCTTACACAATGTAGACCTTGGTGATAGCCATCTTGAAAGTGTTGGCTCAAGTTGAAATACTAATCACTTTTGCCTCTGTGCTTATAGTACAAACCCCTGAATGGACAGAAGATAAGGGAATTAGGGTGGGAAGATGAACAGGAGAAAAGGAATATTTTGAGATTACAACTTGCAGAAATGATCACAAAAGTAGCAAATGAAAAATTTATGATGTGGCTGATGAAAATTTCATTAATGAAATTTGTTAATTAAATTACACTCATTTAATAATGAACTATTTAAAACACCAGAGCAAAACTCCTATGAACAGCACAAGTATGGCCAGAGAACAAAAAATGAAAGCTCATTGTTGCATGAGTGCAAGAGATATGGGGAGTATTCTCCACAAGAAAAATGTGATTAAGCCACATCCATGAAAGATGAATAAAAAAATGAGATAAACAATAGAAAATCTATACTAGTTGAGTTCCAAAGTGATGATTTTGGGAAAAAGAATACGAGCACAAGCAATTGAATTCATCCCACACTAAAAAATTCATCATGCGGATAAAAAGGGCATCATTTTAAGGATTATAAATCAAAATAGGAGAGAAACAAACCTTTGAAGTCTGATGATGATTATAAACCAGAGAGGGAAGTACAGTACAGTGGAGAAAACGATAGCATATTATTTACTTTTATATTTATATAGAGCGTTAGTTGAAGAAGCAGAACTTGCGTCTAGTTTTTGGTTGTCAGCGTTGTGTTGAATTGGATAAAGAGCTAAACTTTACGTGGCACTGGGATAGACTTGTGATGGAGAGAAATATCAATTTTTTTTTAATAAAACTTAAATTATTTTTTATTAGTGTAACGTATATCTTAAATATATTTTTCAATTTTACATTAAATGTAATCTTAATTAGAGATTATGATCGATGAAAATGTAAATTTATTTAAGTTATTTAAAGGTACATTCAAGCTAGTTGAATGTCGGTTTTAATATTTTACTATGATAGGTTTGAATAATAGGAATAAATCTTTGGTATTACTGCTGTACTAAAGACTCAGTGCATCCCACCAATGAAAATATTACATGTCAGTTAAAATTTTGTTTTTTCTGTCAAATTTTTTCTCTCTCCTATGATGTGTAATGTTCTCATTGATGAGATACACTGAATCTTGGTACAACAGTAGTACCAAAGATTTATTCGAATAATAGGTTTGTTTTTTTACAGTTATTGCATATAAGTTATCTGCAGTAAGTCTAATATGACATCGTTTTGAGTGGAAATCATGATATTTTTATAATTTTAATTTATTTCAGAGTTATAATAGTCTTTATATTTATAATTTTTTAAAATTTCAATGTCAAAACGATGTCATTTTGAAAATAAATACAGATAATTTGTCTACGATAATTACAAGAAATATTTTTCCCTTATATAATTGTGTGACATTAATTGGTTCAATGCACACAATTTTGGCATACCATAACTAAATAATAATTGGATAAAACTCTATTCGGTAAACTTGTCTTTTAAAGTGAGTAACTAAAAGTGTATACACTCTCGCTTTAATTTAAAATATATTATGTAAAAAAAAAACAGTGTAACAAATTAAAATATTACTAAAATTCATGAATATATATTAGTTTATCAATTACTAGACTAATTTGATTTGAGCTAATATGGTAGGTATCCATAATTCAAATATGAGACCGTTGATTAAGTTAGAATAATCTCATGCTACTTTATTCATGTATTTGGTGGAATAAACAGATATAACTACATTTATGTACTTTAAAAATATTTTTTTAAAACAAAAATTTCCTAAATATTTTTCAATTATTTTCTTTTGTGACTAATTGTTATAGGCTTGACAAACAAGGTAGCAAAAGCATAAAAAATTTCTCCTCATTACCATCTTGCATCTTCAAATAACACTAAACCTATCGTTACTTCTTTTGTCAGTTTTCAGTTTGAGCTTATTGTAGATAACTTATTTGCAGTAATTACAGAAAAAATAAACTCTTATTTTAATTATTAAATATCTAATAGGCTTAAATATACTAACAGATCTAGGCCAAGATTTTTATTTTTTAAATATAGGTAAGATCAGACTTAAAATTTGGGTTTGTACAAAGCTAGACTATACTTAAAGTATTTTACACAGACTTGACGTCTTTAAGAAAAAGGCTAGCTCAGCTCAGCTTATTTACACACAATAAATGAATATTTATTATAAATTTATATTTTATAATAATTCATATAAATTTAACTTCTAACTCCAATCAAATGTATGTTTTTTTAACAGTTCTAAGCACAATTCGTGTTATTAACCGTTATAACTATCACATACAAAATTTGTACTTCTTATTTACCATCTAAACTTTCATTTTTTTTCAAATATTTATTACTCTCTCGAAAACTCAGTGTATTTTTTTTTTCCTATGCAGTAATATTGAAATTTCTAAATGAGAATGTAATGTTTGTGTTTCTCACAAATTTTAAAAGTAATTTCAACAATACAAATTTATAAAACAAAGAATACAGAGAAATAAATATATGACAGGTTCACAAATTTTTAAATTTATTTAAGGTGGATTATAACAAATTTTTGACCGAAATATTATTTTAATCCTTCATAAATATATTTGAAATTTGGTCTTTAAAAATTTTATGATATTAAAATAGACTTTCAAATTTTTAAAGCAACATCACAATGGTTTTTCCCCCATCATTTCATGTTATATTAAATTATTAATTTGGACCATTTTAATGTTATTATTAATTTCTTAAAAATTATTTAGTTATCCCAAATATTTAAAGAATTAAATTAATATAGAGTGTATTTTGAATAATAAAAATGATAATTTATTAATAATCTTTTATGAACTATATTCGAATGCAACCAACCAATTATTAATGACAAAGAGGTGGTTGGCTTCATAGACACGCATAAATATAAGACAAACAAAAAGTAAAATACTAACGTGTAAAGTTGATATACATTATGCATATATATGTCCAGAGTTTGACAAGTCAGCACTGCATTTGGTTACCGGGATTGGCTCTCCATCTCCCACGTCGTCCTATCATATTATGAATTATTATTTGGCTTTTTCATTTATGCCTATGCTTACTATTCATCTAAATATTACATAAAAACGATCTAGAAGCCATATATTTTTATGCTGTTCTTGGATTGCTGGCTTCTCTTCATTACCCTTGTGTTCTAAATAAAAGAAATTAAAATTTAGGTGTTTTATATTCCTAGTCTTGACTTAATGATGGATTTGGTAGGGCCTCGAATCTAAAAAAGGAGGGTAGGTTTGAAAATTGAAAGTATAAAGTTCGGTAATGTTAGTTTCCAAAGGCACTGATATACGAGTGTTCAACGAGGCACCGATATGAACTAATAAAAAGTTCTTGAAAAGTCATCGTGAGTGTTATTCTTAGAAATAAAAAAAAAAACAGATAATGAAATTAAAAGTTACATGTTCTCTGAGTTTGTTATTCTAACATGGTATTAAAAGCAATTTTCCATGGGACAATATCTGGAGGTAGATGAGACAGGAACGAATACGTATGTTCCTTTGGTTGTTGGTTGGAGAAAAGTTGTTGACTAATAATCGGAGGCTTCAACGTCACATGACCTCTTCGGGTGTTTGCCCTAGATGTAATATCTCTTGTGAAACTAATCTTCACGCTATCCGGGATTGCCCTCAGTCAAAAGAGGTTTGGAGGTTGGTGGTTCATCAAACCAGTTGGCAGGTATTCTTCTCGCTTAATCTGCATGACTGAATCTTCTCTAACTTAAAAAATTGTAGAAGCTTGGCAATGGACGATGATTGGCCTTTGACTTTTGGGATATTAGCGTGGAGCATTTGGAGGAGTAGAAACACTTGGGTTTTTGAAGGAAAAATCAATAATGCTTACACAATTGCCCACTCAGCCTTGGGGTATAGCAATTGTGTCAAGCATACAGCTACCACTCTCCATGCAGCAGGTCTTCAACCGAGAAACAGTGTAGAGAAGATGATAGCTTGGTCTTGTCCTCCGTTAGGATGGGTTAAACTTAATGTTGATGGGGCTAGAGCTGGTAATGGGAACAGATCAGGATGTGGTGGTGTTATTCGTGACCCGTCCGGAGCTTGGATTATCGATTTCTGCAAGAATTTGGGACCAGGTACTGTTTTGCATGCAGAATTATGGGCTTGTTTGGAAGGTTTGCGTTTAGCATGGGAAAAAGGATTTAGAAAAGTGTGGCTGGAAGGAGATTCTCTCTGAGCCCAACAGATTATATCTAATGGGTGTCATCAGGATCACCCTTCGTCGAGCTTGGTAAAACGTATTAGAGGAATGTTGCAAAGATGCTGGCAGGTGCAGATTTCTCATGTCCATCGTGAAGGAAACAAAGTAGCTGATTTCTTAGCTTCACATGCGTATAGCTTTCCATGGGATGTGCAAGTCTTTGATGACCCTCCTCCTGGCTGTCTTCTAAGTTTATACAGCGACACTGTAGGTGTTCGCTGGGCTAGGTTCTGTACTTAGGCCTTTTTGCTGTGTTTTTCATTTCCATTATCTTTCAAAAAAAAAAAAACAATTTTCCATCCTTCATGAATGGAGGTTTCGTTGCACTCATAATATTTTTTTTTTCTTCATTGATCTTCCTCTTACTTTCTGGCCATGTTTTACTTTCAGATCTGCATTCTAGAGTTTTATTAGTTTTTTTTCTTCCAGATCGAATCCCGATCTGTGTTCTCCTTCCTCTCCTTCACTCTTTTTTTTAGGCGTTCATGTCTATCGCCGGTGTGTCTCTAGCTTCTCGTCACACAATCTTGGCCCCTCTTCTCCGGTGCTTTATCGCCGCTGATTTTCCCGATTGTTCTCCATCTTTGATGGTGGTTATTCGGTCTACCTAAAATATTTTCCAGATCTGCGACTCACCTTTTTTTCCCCCTTCCCGATCAGTGTTTTGTTCTCCTCGATTTTTCAGTTTCTCTTTGATTTCACCTTTTTGGGATTTTATTTTATTTTTTTGTTCCTGGATTCTTCTTTTCTATTTTTCTTTTCTCACCCTATCTCACTATTTCTTCTTCTTTATCCACCTTTACATCAGTTCTGATTTCTTATTTTGGTTCTTCTAATGTTGCTAATGGAATTTTGGGGCTGGTTGTTGGCATGATTGCTGCTTTCGTGCTTGCTTTTAACTAGACCCCGAGTGTTGTTCACTGTTAGTGCTCTATCGTTGTTTGGCCATAACTTCACCACTTTTAGGTCATTTAATTACCGTTTCTCGTTTCGGTTTGGCTCTATTGTGTTCTTATGTTATATTATAGTGGCTGCACCAATTCCTTGGCTTCTTTCCATATATATTTTACCCAAAGCTGGGCCATCTTCATTTTTCAGATCTGTGTTCTTTAGTCCCTATAGCAATTTCATCTCTTTTACATATTCATCTGCCTCTGCCTCTCACCAGTGCCTCTCTATTGAAGTTATTTTGGATGAGTGGTTCTATCTTTTGATTTTTTTTTTTTGCTTGTATTTGGCCACTTTGTGTTTATTCCCATGTATGTTTGTGGTGCTATTCAAGTCTGATTTGACTTGTATTTGACTTGCCATTGTATGGCTTTATTTTGGCCTCCCATTCAGGGGGAGCATTTATCTCGATTGTTGCCTGGTCTGCGGATTATCCCAGTTACAGTGACTCCGTTGGCTTTTATCTTAGTTGCAACACTGATGTTCA